ATTAAATAATTTCAAATAATCGCAAAAAATGCAACAGCCCTATTTGAGTCATTGATACCGTTGCTTTAACGCCTTTTACTAGTCCCACATTGGCGTTGATTATCTTCATTGCCGCATAATTTTCCTAGTTTTAAGCTGTGAAAAGCCATTTCAAAATTCACAAATAGAAGTTGCAGTTCTTCAGCAAAATAATTACTACAACACACTAATTTTTTAGGACCTATTGATCGATTCAGACGATGGATGGAAGTCATCAGGAGTATCGATGTAACAATTCTGAAGCGTTCAGTAGATCTAAGCGAGTTACTTGAGCCGTTCGATTTGCTGATAGAGACGGTATTTGGCTTGAAAATTGACATTGTACAAAATGTTATTATGACGAACAAATCAGCCTGTGTGTCTAAGATCAGTAATCCAATATTGCTCAGTTACATACTGCACGAAATTGCATGGACTGAACGCCGAAACAGCGACATTATTCTGTCCTTGAAAGATATATATTTAATCATGTGGATGGCAGGGTTGATGCCTTTAATCCTGGAAGTCCAAAACCCAATCCACCAAGAGTTTGTATTGAACATCTTAAATAAGCTGAAAAAGCACCGATACAAACGGCAATATATTCTGATTGCAAACGATGTGATGACGAAATCATATCAACTTTCCTTTGCTTCCAATTTAGGTGACATTATTGCGAATATGAATGTGGAAGTGCTGGAAGACATTAACCTGCATGTCACCGAAGAATTTTCCATAGAATTAGGCACTATCCAGCAGTCTGATCCGTTGTTTGCAAAGTCGATATCACCTAGAGAGTTTTTCTACATGACTTTAGGAAAATCATTATTAAAACCCGATTGGAGTAGTGGGGAACATACCAAAATTGTCTTGTCCGAAGACGTAATGACTGCACTGAACTATCATCTCGAAGCCAAAAGAGAGACTCAGGGCATCAGAACAGTAATAGCAAATTCCATCACACATGAATCAGAAACACACTGGCTGAGAGGAATCAATCCAAAAATGTTTCAATGAACCAAATTCTTATAATGTGATATTTTAAAAATTACTTATCACATAATGAGTAATACGATCGTAGACAACATTATATGAATATTGTACAGGGATAGTTCTCTGCGCAGCACCCAATTTTTGGTATCTTTAAAATAACAAGTAAAACAAAAAGCATTTATGTAAAAGTGTTGTAATTTTAGACAGAGTAATTTTTCCTTGCAATAGAAATATTATACAAACTTGTATAATAAAAAAGCTTTAAATCGGGATTCATATGTCCTGCACTCAATTCGAAGTATATTCCTAGTGTTCCAATAAGGGAGGCTATCAGCCATATATCGGAAACTACTAGGCTTAGAACTTCAGTGATAAAATTCTCAGCAGTAAACTAGGAAGGCTCGTATGAAAGAGAAGGGGTAGATATCACGGATCGAGATGATATAATGGGGCAGTGATGCGTCTCAAACAGCCTCTCCTGCCCAAATGTCAACCTCACCTGTACCCGGTGAACCCTGCTTTCTACAGACGAGGCTCTATCGACCGAGGCACGGCAGTATAACAGCTAAAACGAGGCTGAGAAAATGAAGAAAATTCAGATATAGAAAAGAAGGAGGCAGACCTTACCTGGAGAGTAATAGAGAGCACAATTAACAATATCCAAGAGCAACAGATAGGGTTCATTAAAAGCAATAAAAAGCAAGGTGGATGACGCTGGAAATACTGTCCTTGATGGATGCAGAAGGAGCAAAACCAAGACAAATACAGAGAACTCAACAAAATGATTAAAAGAAAGTGCAGAGAAGCCACAGATCGATGGTAGTCAGCAAAATATCAGGAGATCACTACAAGCAAAACCCAATACACTAAACGAACACAAGAAAGTTAAAGCTCTAGTGGGAAGATGTCGAAAGCAACCAGCAGCAGTTTTGAAAGATGCCAAGGGAGAAATCGTAGCTGGACTAGAAGAAAAACTTAAAAGATGGAAAGAATATGTTGAAACGCTATTCAAAGACAACAGATCTACCCTTTCACCAAAAAGCGACGAAGCTGACTTGGACATATTATTAGGGGCAGCCGATACGAAGTCCTGAAACTCATCATCGAAAGGAAGATTCAGTGAAAAATATCTATCGGAAGACGCCAGAAAACATGGATGAAGGACATCCGCAGAGGTTTTCCGAGCAGCTGTTTCCAAAACAACACTGGCCATTTGGGTCGCCAACCTTCCCAAGGAGAAGGCGAGATGACAAGAAGAAGAACCCGCGCTGGCCTGCGTGGTAGAAGCATTTGGACAACAAATTCTCAAGAAATGAAGATGGAATTTTTAAATAGATCTCCAGTCGAGTAGGACTGAATATCCAGAATCCCGCACCGGAACATTCAAAGACAGAATTGTACTGTAAGAGGAAAAGTTTGCCGATATGAAAAATGAGTTAAAAATCATCTAATGGGACATTGTAGGTGTCAGTGAGATAAGAAGGCGGGGCAAAAGTCTCGAGACTCTCAAGTTGGGACACATCTTTTACCATAAAGGTGAGGAAAACAAATCAATTGGTGTAGGATACTTTATACAGAGAAATCTGGCAAGAAACATAGTAACGATCCAAAATCATCCTGAAAATAAGCACAAGGTATAAGCTAAAAATTATGCAAGTTTACCCCCCATGAAAGACCATAACGATGAAGAAGTAGAAATATTCTACGACAGCGTATCCAAAGCCATGACAGAGAACCACAGTGATTTCACAATTATTAGTGGTGATTTCAATAGGAAAATCAGAACAAAATCAGACCTGCGAGAAACTGTTTTTGGTAAATTCGGCAGCCCAAGCACAAATTTTAATGATCGGGAGGAAACTTTGCTAAACTACTTCTATACAAAAATTCATAGATGGGAAAACACACAATTAGACTATCTATTAATGGACAAGACGCACTTATCTAAATTTCGTAGATAAGAGCAACTATTGAAATGCGCATCGACAGGGAAGATGTAAAATGATGAAAAATACGGCTTGGAATCACCCGACAAACGCAACACAATTTGAAATTTACATATGTACGACATAAATGATTTGAACAACAAAATTGTGAACACGGTAAAGGAAGCACAGGATGAGTTCTGCACAAAAACCGAAAATCAGTGCAGAGACAAAAGCGAAAATGGAACAGAGAAGAGAACTGAGGAGCGAAAAAAATGTAAGCGAGGATATTATTAGGGAATTAAATAAGGATATTTATAAATCCGTAAAGAGATATATGAGGAGATATAAAAACGAGAGAATAATACAGACAATTGAAGAAAATAAAAGCATGAAGGTGAAGGAGGAAATTTGCAAATGACAAAGAGGAAATTCTCAAAATGAGTGATTAAACTGGCAAAACAATAAACAACAGGGAAGGACTACTACGAATAGTGGAGAAATTCTACTTGTTTCAAGTTTTTCAAGAAATTCAGTTTGAAAACTTCCCACCCTAAATATCTTTCTTGCTGTCATTTGAACACATAACTTCCATCATGAGAAAAAAAGCTCAACAACTTAATTTTACCATAAAAGTTGCATATTTATTTTTAATAAACCGAGTTAAAATAAAACGAAAGTTAAAGAAACTTTACAATTTTAAACGAACTTCTTATGGAAAGTAAAACTATTAATCCAGATACCCAAGAACTGCCTGAGATATACTCATGTCAGATGATACTTACTGTTCGATAATTTGCTCTCTCTCAAAAAAAGAGGAAAAAGAAGGAAGGAAAAGAAGAAAAAAGAAAGTTATTTATCAAATGAGAGATAAAAACGATGGAGATGACAACTATGAAGAAGAGTAACAATGCAAACGCAGGAAAAGCCGATTAAGTATAAGTCAGGACTGTAAATATTGCCATTCAATTGGATTCCCACTAGTAAAAGGAAATACAAAGAGAAGTGAACATCGAGACAGATTTGCAGTTAAAAAATGCAGAGTATGAAAAATTATTACATATACCCAAAAACAAAATTTTTCATTCAAATGCTATTAACTTAAAGAGCAAGAAAAACAGCGCATTTTCCAAGAATTCTAGAATTTATCTTATTTAGAAAGAAAAACTGGTATAAGTATGTTGTAATGTAATAATGTTCTGCAACACTCTAGATGAATGCCATTAAGGACCGTACCTCTGTGGATTCAAATTCAAACCGATCGTATTGCGACCAAAATGATGAAAAGTTTGAAGCTAAAAAACCTAAAAGTTTAATTGTTTCTACAACTTTGAAACGCGATTATTCAGAAACTTCTGGACAAAAAGCAACAGGGTAATAACTAATGTAAAGAGAATTTAACGCCCTTTAAAACGATGTGCCACTTCCCATTTAAGATTCTCAGGGTGACATCTACCTCTTCTAGGGGGTTGAAGCAAGGAGGCTTAAAATATTCATTTAATGTGTCCCCCTTAGGAATAAAATTGACGGGTCTTCTCGATTTTTTATATTTTCAACTGCAAGAAAGATATTAAGGTGGGAACTTTTCAAATTAACACCCTGTGTAGAACCACTCCGATAATAATCGATATCCGTTGCCTAAATAGCTGATCAATAAATCGTAATTTATTTGATATATTGGGCTTTTATTTCATGGCAAAGCACTTGAAATAGCGCTGATAAAATTAGTCAAAAATAAAAAATAAAGCGTAAAAAGTCAATTAATTATAATAAAATACAGGGTCAAATTTGCATCAATGCAAACAAAAAAACTGAGATATTTGCGACAAACTAAATCATAAGTTTGGCAAAAACTGTAGATGATTCGCTCTTGTAACTGGTAAATGTTGTTTTATGTGTAAAACAACTAAAGTAGCAGGGAAATAAAAAAGTACTAATCGGTTAATAAATTCGCCAATCTAAATGGTTGAAAAGTAGAAAATATTCATATTTTCTGGTCGAAAGAATGCCACAGCTCAGAGCAAGGCTTTTGCGAATTGTAAAATTACAGTTTACAACATCAGTTGTAAACCCTTTTCAACTCTTACTTGGTACCGCGTTCTAACAAAAATGCAAGATCAACAAACAAAATTCAGCGCAAAACCTTTAACTGATTTTCTGTGATCTGCTGATGCTGGGTTCCAATAAATTTTCATTTTCGCAATTAATCACCTAATTTAAAAAAAAAAACAATATACTGGTTCCGCGTGTCTATAACGTCAAAGAGTTGACTAATATTCTTCCTCGAAAAAATTCTTCTCTGTCGCTCTTTCTGAAGAAATAGTTATTCATTTCAAATTCTGAAGAGCACAATTTAAAAAGTAACCTTAAATGCGCTGCAACGTTGACAAGTTTGCTGCATACATGCGGCTTTTTCGCAAAAAAAATTGTTCTCCATCATTTCTCCAAACGGAAAATATTTTGCAGTGTTTTAACAGATGAAACGCTAGAGTGGTACTAGAATTAAATTCTGCCAAAAACTGAAAACATTTGTTGAATCTGAATAGAACCACGCAAGACATGACAATAAATTAAACCCCAATACCAATAAAAAATAGAAAAATATGTAAGGGAATTAATTAGCCATACGCATCCAAAACACAGAGATTTTGAAATGTGGATGTACCGTAAGGTACTTGTTTATAACCAGAGTTCGAATTAATTAAGAGGCACACGATGAAGAGTTTGCAGCACTGATGCTTTGCAACACCTAATTGTCCTCAAAATCAACAGATTTGCCGAGATTGGCCATGTAATGCGCTATGAAAAACACGAACATCTGCTGAGAAGTGAGAAACATCCGAGTGTGGACAAAATCGACGCAAACACTCTCCTTGATACCCACTTGATAGAGACGATTCCACTCGACTCGGTAGTCTCATAATTAACTCAATGGTCTAAACCATTTAATTAAATAACAATTAAGAACAACTGATTAAAATTGGTCGTTTTTTGTCTAAGCGTTTAACATTATCATAGTTTCTCGTTCGTCATACCCGATTGAACTTAGATCGACACTTGCATGGAAAATTATAAACAATCTTGACTTGAAGTAAACTGGCAATATTTTTATTGCACAAATTCACATGATCCGTGATCTGGGCACCACTAGAAAGAGAAATATTCTTTCCCTACCCGCATTCCCAGTATGTCCTTAATCTTCAGGAAAAATTATAATTTTTGGTGGAAAAAATATTCTTTATAGAAAGGGGGTATGGAGTGCTTTACGAAAACAACACACGCGAATTATAAGTGGTTGCTCTCTCATTTTTACGAGATTTGATCTGTAATTGAAGCAATTAGATAACATTAATAATTCAGACAATGGCAACAGTATCATATTTATGTCGCTGTTATTTGTAAACTTTTTAATACACGAAAATGCGTTTTGGAATCCAGTATTTGACGGCCCTGATTATCACGTAAGAGCAAGCGTTAACCCCAATTTCAATGTTTCTAATCTAGACCAACTTCTAGAGCGTCTGCCCTAGAGGTGAACCAAAATCCGTTCCCCGAGCACTTCAAACTTGGAGTATCCACGTCGGCTTACCAAATAGAAGGGGCATGGAACGAAGATGGAAAAGGGTCCAGTATTTGGGACGATTTTGCCCATGAGTATCCAGAGCTGATCCAAGATGGTTCAAATGGAGACATTGCATGCGACTCGTATCATCGCTACAAAGAAGACGTGGCTCTGCTTAAAGAGTTGGGGGTGCAGTTGTATAGATTTTCCATTTCATGGCCCAGAATTCTGCCCAATGGCACTTCCAATAATATCAATGAGGCCGGCATCGAATATTACACAAACTTACTGAAGGTAATTTCCTTGCACTTATTAACAGTTCATACAGATGGTGGTTTTGCACCTGCATCAGCTTCTACAAGAAAACGGTATAGAGCCGATCGTGACCCTCTATCATGCAGATCTTCCATCAGTGTTTCAAGAAATGGGTGGATGGGATAATCCGGAGATTGTAAATTATTTTGGCGATTATGTGCGACTGTGCTTCCTCCGTTTTGGGCAATACGTGAAATACTGGGTGACCATCAATGAACCCATTAGTACATGCGACATAGGTACTAGACTTTGTCTATTTTAAATAGTGTTTTTAATCATATTCGGGAATTATCTAGGATACCCATATTCGACGGGTTATTTGGTTTTGAGTGAAAGCGTCTATTTATGCGCCTACACCAACATGAAAGCACATGCCCTGGCTTATCACATTTACCAAGATGAATTTCAAAAAGAACAGCAAGGTAAGATTTTTATTGCGTAAGTTTAATCGCTTTTTGTCTAATCCCTGGA